AGCGATGGCCTCCAACCTAACAGCGATGGCGTCCAGCCTCCAACCTAACAGCGATGGCCTCCAACCTAACAGCGATGGCGTCCAGCCTCCAACCTAACAGCGATTGCCTCCAACCTAACAGCGATGGCGTCCAGCCTCCAACCTAACAGCGATTGCCTCCAACCTAACAGCGATGGCGTCCACCCTCCAACCTAATAGCGATTGCCTCCGCGATGGCCTCTAACCTAGATTAGAAGGGAAGAACACACATTTAAGTTTAAGGGCTCCCGCCCCACACAATTAGGCTGGGATTTGAGCGTGTTCGCAGCTTGGAAGCTGAGCCGGCCAGGTTTGCCTGATACGAACCAAAGGCATCGCTACGAACGGAGCAAGGACGCTACTAGTAGCTCCTGGCCTTACTACTAGTAACAAGGGCATCGCTACTAGTAACAAGGGCATTACTATTAGTAGCAGCATTCAATTGAAGTCAGAGGCATCGACTGACGCGGGCCCATCAGCACTGGAAGGCATCGGCACAAAAACAGTCCCTCGTCACGCTGATGCACCACCGAGGCTAAGTCGAAATGTGCTCCAAACCAAGGCCAGACTGCCCTCCTTCTAATTGCGTTGGAACATGCCCGTGGAACAGGGGTGCCCAACATCCTTTCTGAATCAGAGAAAAACCGATGAACACCGAGGAGTGCAACGTTTTTTGATCTGCCAACATCGACTCCAGTTAGCCGTTCCCAGTGGTGGTCCCATACATACGGTTTCGTTCGATCGAAACAGCCTTAAAGAACACCGACCTGGCCTGTTCTCTGCACTCCCCCCACTTCACCTGGGGGTCGGCACCCTTGGATGGTCATGTATCGTGAGATACGAGCTGCTCGTGCAATCACAGGTTTCCCCACTGTAGCCGGCGCGGAAGTGGAACAGACCCAGGTTGTACAGGACATAGGAGAACCATTTCCAGGGGTGCTTTGCTTCTGTACTTTTATCAGACAGGGTAGAAGTAGATACATGAAAGAGCGAAAAAGCTAGCCACATGGATGAACAGCGCAGAAGCTACTAGTAACAAGTGCATCGCTACTATTCTCTTGTTAGACATGACTTGTTGAGCTCTTAGGACCCGCCATCGGCTCCTCAAGGCGCCGTGACGAGAAATCACCAGAAATCAAAAGTTTCTGACACAGATTCAAGAGGAACAAGAAGCTATTAGTAACAAGTGCATCGCTTCTAGTAACAAGTGC